GTCCCAAGGGTGCTTTTTTTAAAAGAGGCAACTGGACTTTCTTAGTTTTTTCCTTGAAGACGTTTTACTTCTCATCCAAGAAGTTTCTTCATCTGACTAAATGGTGGAAGGATTTATGTTCCTTGCAAACATCTGGTCATTAGCACTCTTTCTGAGAGTTATTGAGGCTACGTGGAGGTTTATCCCTCAGGAGCACAGATAAATTATTCGGGTGACCCTGAGGGCACAGATAAGTACAGTTGAGTGGCCTCCACCAGTCTCAGAAAGACCAGATGACCGCAAGAAACATAAATCTTTCCATTCTCCACCATTCATTACAGTGGTGCGTTTCAATTTTTTTAAACTACCGGTTCTGTGGGCGTGGCTTATTTTGTGGGAGTGGCTTGGGAGTCATGTGACTGGGTGGGCGTGGCCAATTTAGCCATCCGTTTTGCCAATTTAGCAGTCCGTTAAGCAATATACGGCAACACACTTTTTAATTCTTTTTAATACTGCATGAAGTTTTTGCTCTAGGTTTTTTTTTACTGGGGTGGTGGGAGAGGTTGGCAATGCCTGGGGGTTTCTGGGGATTTCTCCTCTGTGTTAGAGGCACTAAAATAACCAAGATGATATAAGATCTCCTGCTGCAGCAGGGGGTTGGACTAGATGACCTCTGAGGTCCCTTCCAGCCCTGGATTGCTGTGCTCTTTCAAAGCATCCTCTGAAGCAAACCACTAGTGCCAGGTTTGTGATCCTTCCTTCCTCTTCTTTTTCTCTCTCTCCCTTCTTCTATCCATCCATCCATATCACATTCACTTTCCCTTCCCTTTTTCTCCCTTCCCTCCCCTCCTTTCCTTTCACTATTGATTAGCTTAGCCTGAGCAAGGATAGCTAGCCTCACTTTCAATAAGCTCTCAACTCCATGCCGGAGGTCTGCAAACTTGGCAACTTTTAAGATTTGTGGACTTCAACTCCCAGAATTCTTCAGCCAACAGAGTTGAATTCTGGGAGTTTACGTCCACAAGTCTTAAAGTTTCCAAGTTTGCAGCCGTCTGCTCCAGGCACTTGGGAATCCCAAAATGGTGAGGATTTCTTTATTCCTTTCTCTGTTGAAGTCCCCCCCCTGCTTTTATTCCCAGGGGGCTACAGGGAGGCTTGCTATCCCCCCCCCACGCTCTTTGGGTCTAGCAGGCATCCCTGAAGAGACAAGTAAGGTTGTGAGCCCAGTGGGAATGGGGGGGGGGTGCAGCAAGCTCCGTGAGGTGGGCTAGAGAGACTTACCTGTAGGCAGGACAAGGAGGCAGCTCAGTTGGGGCGCAGGGCAGGCACCACGTGGCAGCTTAGGCAGGGAAGCCACCCAGGAGGTGAGGAGTGACTGGGTGGGGCGGGGGGGGGCATTTACACGTCTGTGCATGTGCACAACAGTAAAAAGGGGAAAATTACATTTTCCCATTAAGATTTTTCTGCGCATGTGCAGAACAGAAAACCAAGATGGGGCCGTACCAGTACGGTCACGTGTCTGCTAGAAGTTACTACCTATTCGCCCGTACCAAACCAATTAGGTAGGAACCTACCTCTGATTCATTATTATTATTATTGATAACGCATTCACTTCCAATGGCCAGGTGCACCTGCATGGCTACAACTTATATTATGAAGCCAAATGTACAGAAGATTGAATATGACCGAGAGGGATACAAATCTTTTCGACTAACAAGAGAAATCTACTCCACAGCAAAGGAAAAAAGGTTTCAAATTGGGGGAGATTCGGAAAAACTCATTTTGCAATTAATGGAAAACATAAGGCATACCATTTTTCATATTATACCATTCATTGGGACTATGACTCCTATCCTATGCGCTCTACATGGGGCTGCCCCCGAAGAGTGTTCGAAGACTACAGTTGGTCCAGAATGCAGCCGCGCGAGCGATACTGGGTGTACCTACATACACCCATGTTACCCCCATCCTCCGCGAGCTGCACTGGCTCCCTATTGGTCTCCAAACGCGCTTCAAGGTGCTAGTCATTACTTTTAAAGCCTTACATGGTTTAGGACCTGGCTACCTGAGAGACCGCCTCCTGCCACATACCTCCCAATGACCAACAGATCACACAGGTTAGGCCTCCTCCGGGTGCCGTTGGCCGGACAATGCTGGCTGGCGGCCCCTCAAGGGAGGGCCTTCTCTGTAGCTGAGCCGGCCCTGTGGAACGATCTACCCATAGAGATCTGGACCCTTACCACTCTCCTGATCTTCTGAAAAGCCACCAAAACCTGGCTGTTCCGGCA